AATACATCGACGGCCATACCACGGCCCCGCCGAGAACATCCGATTCTGGCAGTGAATAACGTTGCAAGTTGCAAGTTGTACGGTGATTGCGAAATGCACACTCCAGTGTACTCGCACTACTTCAATTTTTCTTTATCAACCTAATTTTGAAATAGCAGCGTGAAAATATCCGCCAGATATCAATGTTCAACCTTGCGCCGTACGTATCCTCGAGCATTGCTACGATTTTACAAAACGGACGGATATACACAGATGGACGGCATTTACCGATGTAAAATAAAGAGTGAAATAACACGCATATCGATGTTATTCCGATATGGTCAGGTATATGTACCTATTAACAACGCTCGGGTTTTCCGATATAAAATGACGTAGGGGTTAATTCGCCGTTTCATAAATCAAAACATCCTCGTCCATTTTAATCTTTAGATACGTTGTGAACTGTATTATACAAAGTCTGCATGCGGAACGCTATGAAAGGGATGAGAAAGATTAACGTACATCGTAAGTTTCAGTTGAGATATGCTGCCTTCGTGAATTGATATGCTCGCACGAACGTAATATCCGCAAGCGTTAATATAAAGGCAGGTCGAGTTAATTGGGGCTAGAAATGGCTGAAATGTGCGAGCGAAGAGAACGGAATAACGTATTTCCTACGTGTTCAGTAAAGGGAGCCTGGACCATAATCTTCCACGTAATCTTCTTATGGCAGAACACGAATGTATTTTTGGAAAGTTCTAATCCGGCCATTGCATGCAGCAGCAGTTCCTGCGAAGCCAATGATTTAATGGCTCTGCGAGGTTTGTCGTTCTTCGTTCGCGTTGCATTACTTATGAATGTCTTTTTTACTCGTGATACAGCCCGAATTGTCGCACGGCAGTCAGTTTTTCGATTTTTTTCTTTTCCCACGTAAAAAGACGGGCACTTCAATTATGAATGAAATACTGTTTGTAAAAGTCGTACATAGTGGTAGTAAGAGCATCCGCAAAATGGCACGCCAAAGTTCAGCGATTTCCGTCATGGGAGAAAAATGTAGCTTTCCCTCGACTGACTGAAGGGAAAAATAACTGCGTGAGAGGCCGGAAAAGGCAGAGTATACCTGTCTCTTTTGTTTCGCGACCGAGACAACGGAATATAACGGACAATTCCGGAAATGATTTCACGAACTAAGAACATTGCGAGTTCGTGGGATATTTCTCTTGCGATGCCGCGACTTAAAGCCTACGCGACATGCATAAAAGATTTATGCAAATATCCAATCAAGTCTAGATATTCCGACGTTCGAATTTGTTCGCCAAATGCGACACGTCTCCTTGGAGATGAGATCATTTGGGATTATTAACCTAGTTAATGTTCTAATAAAATATGTACACACACACACACACACACACACATATATATATATAGGTTTATACATTCTATCAAATTATTGCATCTATACTATATATTTGGAACTACTGTTAATTTATTCATATCACATAAAGATACTCGATCTTATAGACTTATAATTATAGAATCGAATTTCTATTAAATTGTGTTATAGAACGGAAAGATTGCTAAGCGCACAAAATGATAGACGTTTATATAATTAGTAACTCCTAAATGATTAATTTTATTACTTTAATAATGATCTGGCCTTCGATCACGTTTCATATTGCCCTATATTTCAATCATGCGTTTTAATAATTCCTAACATCCGGATCGAATGTAAATGTCTCGATAAAAATTAAAGGCATGTAAAATTTAAATATGTCATACTCTTTTGGAATAATGGTTGAATATGTTTCTAAAATTGCAATTTACAATTTATATAGACAGAATGAATCTAAATATTATGGATGCCGAATTCATCATAGAATCGAAAAAATATACACTGAGTTTAGCAATCGTTATTTCATGCTTGCAGCATGAAATAATAAAAATGTTCCAGAAATTCAGTCAATTCATTGCAATGCATATTAATCGTACGTGACGTTCATCATCGATTTGCAAATGCGTCGATCTTCATCACTTGCACCCAACGACGCATGTTAATCGCGCGTAATGTACGCTAATAAAGCGTATCAAGCTCATCATATATTTAATGTTGAAGCTTGCTAAGGATTTAGGACACATTACGAGAATTTCATACGAGTTGGATCATTGTAATTCAACTGGGAGCTGAAAGTCTGATTTTGATTCTCACAGTGAAATAACGAGGATCGTTGCATGATAATATAACGAAATCAGAAACATCGAGCTGTAAGGCGATTGCAAAAACACATAAAACTGCAACTGATGTGAGGAGAAACATTTTGTAATCATCATAAATTTATGGAAATATTGAGTAAAAAGCAAAATAACAGCTTGTCTGAATTCTGTTCACGCACCATTGGATATTCGAGTAACGTACGTAAAATGCTAAATATGTGAAATTATAATCTGGTAAAAATATTGCGAATTTTCTACCTGTACAATTAAGCTGAAAGCATCTACTCGGATCTGTTAATTAAGAAGATACAGCAGACACAAGTCATGGAATAAAAGTGGATAATTTAATCATAATGTAATGAAATCGCAAATATATGTTTGAATCAGAAATTATACAATAAAAATATAAATATGAGTATGAATACGATATACCTATGAATATCATGAATATGTTTTGTCTTTATTCTATATTAATCATACGTTAAAAGCTTTGTGATATTTTCTTAGTATCGTATTAAAGAAAATATGATAATGTTTGAAAGATTATAATTATTTAATTAAATTTCACGATCTCTTTTCGTCTCGTTTTTCTGCTCAAACAAAAATCTAATCGCGAAAGCACAGTGAAAGGTGAAAAAAGAGTGTCTGCTACAAACGGTATTATCGAAATGTCGACGTCATTCAATTTATCGGAGTGTTTTTCTCTCCCTTTCTCTTGTTAAATTATACAATTTATTCTACGTATTAACCACCGTACAAACAAAGCGAGGCGAAGTTTGTACGGTATTTAATACGTGCCTGTTGTTGGGCAAGCGAAGACAAGTCGATTTGGGCGACATCAATTGGTTAACCAAAAAGACTCACACATCGCCCCTCGTTCAACTATTCGATGTGCTAATTACTGTTCTCGGACCCATTATCCCCAAAGCATTATCACCAATCACAATTCGTGCTTTGAGAAGCAGGGCTCGTATGGCGCTGAAAGCGTATTATACATCAAATCTAGTTTGTAACATACAACGCGATATATTTTAACCAAATTAATACTATATACGGTTCACATATGAGCGTTTATTATTTATCGTTTATAAATTATTGGAAATTTGAGGAAGGGGTTTTATTGTCAACTTTAGTATCATTTACGTTTAATATTTATTTTCTTTATTATCTTGTTATCTCTCATCTCGACGTCGTTTATCGTGCGAATTATTTTTATATTTAATTCTCAACTATGGCATGCTGGTATTACGGTTTTGTATTTCACATCCATTGTGCTAAATAAGAACGGGATTTAAGAGGTGCAAAAGCGTCACTCTTGGAAGAAAATAGCAAGACGGACACTGAAAGCTCTTAATACTTTCTCCTCCGCGAACGAAACTCATTACTGCGAACTGAATTAGCAATATATCCGTTATCTTAGTTTCGTAAAAAGTATATGAAGACATTACGCTCGAAATACATAATAGTGCATATTATTCTTTATTTATCTGCAAAAATTGACTCACTAATCTATAATTATGACGTAAGTTTATGGACCGATTATTGATCGAAAACAAATTATCTTTAAATTATATACACGATGTCCCACGTAACTGTGATCACGATTTTTTGGCACTGATCTCACAAAAATTGTTTTGAATAAAAGTTAGTCGATTTTCAATCGGCTGCAAATTATAATATTAAAATTTTGACACAAATTCTTTTTTAGGTAAAAAGTCAAAGTCACCTTAATTTTTTTAATGGCATCACGCGTTTTTAACTTCATAATATTGTATCTGATGTCAAGACGAATTCAATTACCTTAGCGATGGATTTCGATACGAGAATCTCGAATATCGTCTCGGAATTTCTCATATCATTAAAAATGTCAGTACGAGAATATTTTGATAGGTTTACACAAAGGTTGATGTCCTCGTTTTACTGGTCATACGAATAGAAAGATATGTTTAAGCATGCTTAACTTGGAAACGTAATGCGAAGTTATTATAAATTCAAATTAAACTAAATACGAAAATATTAGAATATTACACAATTTAACTTTGGAATATAATAAGATACTTCTGAAACATATGGTAGGTAAATACTTACTCATACATACGTACGCTTTCAAAGCTTGCAGAGTATGAACTCATTCATTTACTGATGACATTTGTGTTAAAACTTTATATTTCCTGAGTATGAATTTATATTCGCATTCATCCATTCGTTTATAGAATTAACAAAACTGATACGTAGAAATTATTCGTGCAGATTCGCACATACCAAATGTGAAGAGAGAAATTTACATTCCAAAGTGAAAGGAATTAATTCGTTTCGTTTGCATCATCCCTTCTGCTACTATCTACTAGTGCCACAACTATGCTCCATGGAATTATCAAAGAAATCAGTAAACAATATCACATTTCAATTATCTTTTAGTTTGAAAAGACTACAATATGGTATATATGCAAGTACATATATAGTGTATATTAGTAATTCAAGATTGAATTATTTAAAACAATGAAGATCCAGCTTCGACCGTAATAGGCATTTAAAATTTTTAGTAATTATCATTTAATGACGCAGTTGTCAAGATATTAAAAATATTAATAAAAAAGTGTGCATATCGCACATCACTTGATAGTTTATTTTTCAATATTGCTACTCTAGTAGAAAGATTTCTACTAGGATATGCAAAAAAGACTTATATACTATTTATCTTTTCATAAAACAAACACGGAAAAAGAGCATTATCAAAACATTAACGGAAACTTTATACGGAAAACTCATAAATCAAGGTATTAAGTTTTTCATTATTCTCTCTTTTTTTTCCCCCTCGTAGTTACATATTCTTTACACGAAACACCTTGTAGCTACTTGGCTTGCGATAGTAGGCGATCATAGGCACGCAACGATAGTGTTGGCCGACGTATTCTCGTGGTCGCGATCCCATGATTCCTGTACCGGAAGGGGTCCATTAGTCAGGCAATAATAATGCCAACGGACACCCGGTCACCAGCAACGCAGCGGAGAGCTCGGCTCTACAAATTATAACGCTTTCGCGTCTTAACCAGAAGACTGTCTTAGCTGTAGCATCGTTATATCGGCCTCGTCGATTCTGTGTCTTATTCGTGGATTATTATCATTCCACATCCACCTGGATCTTATCGATCGTGCCTTGTGCTTCCGACGGTGGTTTCGAGAGAATTGTGCATCAGACACATCGATGTGCACGTCGCAACGTGAAGATATATTTCTTCTGAGAAAACTAACGAGCGACTGATTCCGCACGTCGTGATATCACGTAATATCTGAAACATCCTGTCGATAACTGTCTGCAAAACGACGATAACATCGTGACGCAACTACCGAGCACGATTCTCGCGGCGCAATTGCGTCCGATAGACAGCGGTGTGAATATTATTATCAAATGGAGAAGCAAAGCAGTGATAACTCAGTGGGTGGTAACGGAAGCTCTGTGGCGACTTTGTTAATCGAATTTGCGGCGACGTAGATGGAGTGCATAGATCACAGTGAAAGGCGTTTATCGGGGAAATAAATCATTCACGCGCACCGCCGGGATCGTAAGCTGTGACTATAATAGTGGCACCTTTGCTGTACAATATCGGTCGTTATTTTGCGTCTGTCGCCCGAAACTCAAATATCATCATTGGGAGAGTAATTTCGATACTCGCGCGTAAAACGAGAATTGACCTAGTTCCAACTTGCAATGCGCTGAAGCGCGTTGCTTCACACTCAATTCGCTTCACAAACCGAGAAGTTTTCTCGTAAACATCTGCGAACTTCATCGCTTGAATATATTTGTTATAAAACGAAAATGCGCGAGTGTTCAAGGAGATCTAGTATTGCGCATATTTGATCGATGAGCTAATCGATTGGATTATTACTCACACAGTGATATCAAAAGCGATATGCCTAGTGATCACGCGAGTACGCATCGTCATTCTATTTTGCATCTTCCGTTGAGTATATTACGAGCTAGAAGAAGATACGCCGCATGGCTCGGTAAGTTGCTGATAAAACAATTGGATTGCATTACGATGTCAAGTAAGCTATCGTCAGATAAACACATATACTAATATTGAAATATACTAAATAACAGGAATAATCCGGGATCGACTTTTTCTTAATAAAAATTTAATCATTAATTCTTAATCTTTATCATAGACAGAATAGTTTTGCCAAAGTATTAAAAAATTTAACTGGAGCTAAAAATCAATTTTATTAGATCTATCAAAATAAATGTAGGACGCTCAAATTGAGTGCTAGAAAACTCTAACATGATGAATAACGCTGCAAAAAATTTTGACACTGTAGCAATCAGTTTGAGTGTAGTATATATAATTATTTAGTTTAATCAAATTTATTTTCAGATCTGTATCTATAAGTTAAATTTATTAACTATTTCAGTAAACTCGATTTTTTCCGTCAGTATGTTAAAATTATATAGGACTACATTTATAATAGTAATTCAAACTGAAAATCCGATTTGAGCCAGATTCAAATCAATCTTTTATTTCAACACGCTTTCCAAATCATAATAAAATTTGATGAGTTCTAACTTTGGTTCAAACCTAACTCACTTGAAATGAGATTCAATCAAAGATCGATCTACGACTATAAATATGGACTAATAATTTTTATACATATTCGTAAAAGTGATTAAAATTAACCAGGGATACAACACTCTAAATTTCTTGCAGTAAAATCTCATTTTAAGAAAATGAAAATATAACCATCCTTGAAAAAAAGTGAAAATATTTCACTTCTTGAAAAAAAGTGACGATTTTCACTCTTTTTAGAAATCTAACATTTTTGGAGTGAGATTTCACTCCAATATTGACTCTAAAAATAGTGAAAATTGTCACTTTTTTTCAAGAAGTGAAATATTTTCACTTTTTTTCAAGGATGGTTATATTTTCATTTTCTTGGAGTGAGATTTCACTGTAAGCAATTTAGAGTAAAACAAACTATTGCGTGTACTATGGATTATAATAAAATGGAGTTTCTTTCTTGATTTGGAATAAAAACTTTAAACAACATTTATTAGAAATAAAATATTAATACATTAAAGTATAAAGTGCTATTAATGTTTGCATCTGTTACATACATAACGTTTCATGTATTTGTAAAGTGTGTATATGAATTAAACATATGTAAATACAGTGCAAGACTACGAAAATGTTAATAATGTTGTATACATAGTTCCACTAACGAATAATAAAATTTAATGTTACTACAGTCATTAATGACAGTACGTAAAAGTTTCGTGTCATTATCGTAACTATCAATAAGGAATCGTTTATTGCACAACGTTTTATGCATATGTATGAATATTTTCGTATTATAAGTTGGCAGTAAACCAACACGATTAGAATACCGTTCGTATATTGCACTATTATTACTTCGTGCCAGAATACGTATGCTCTACTGCGCTAGCAATAATTCCAGTGAATTTCCATCTTCCATTTCTACATAAACTACACAGTTATTGGATAAATATTAAACTAAAGGGAAATGAATGTCGCACTATTTTAACAGCGTTATTGTTCCATGACATTCACTGTAACTGTATATACCAATAAGTATTTTAAACAATTTATAAAAAGAAATGTGGCATTTAAATAAACAAAGAAATTGATGAATCAACATACATTTTATATTATTATTTCTGTGACAAAATATCGACATTATGATATTAATAAAAAATTAGCTCGAAATATCTCATTAAAATTAAAAATTAAAGTAAATCTTGTTCGCGGGGGTTACATTTTTTATTATGTATATCTTATTTTATAAGGGAGTTGTTTGAAAGATTATGACGTGTTTATATGAAATTTCCTGTTTCGATTTTGTCATGTTTCTTATCTCTCTTTGATTTATCGAGCTCCCGTTTACTTGCAGACTCGGTGTACTGGTACACCGTGGCAGAGCGAACAATGGATAGAAGAGCAGAGGCTAAGTAGCAGGCTGCAGGTACAGAAACGGAGACGGCGCGAGGGGAAGATTGGAAAGAGGCGTGTGGCCGACAGAAAGCGAGAGTGTACAGGGGGATAGGCACGGAGGCCGAAAGTAAGGCACGGGAGGGTCGGCCATTGTGACAAAGTCGCAAGGGGAGAAGTGTGGAGTTGCACGAAAAATGAGGGAGCGAGCTCTGTCGGATGTGTGGCGGCTGGTGTGGTTGCTTTGCCTCGTTCTGGCGACGAGCTTAGCGCAAACGTCGCAGGTCTGTCCGTCCCATAGCGAGATCGCGCCCTGTTACTGCAGCGTGAAGAAATCTGGCTTGGACATTGTGTGCGAGATCACCGATCTGACACACATCTCCAAGGCCATGGCCGTGCTTAAGGGAAGGCCGAATCTCGTGATATTCTATCTTCGGCTCAGGCACAACACCCTGCCCAAGTTGCAGGGATACGTGTTCCTCGGGCTCGATATACGCCACCTCACCATTCACAATAGTAGCCTCGCGGTACTTGAAGAATCTTCCCTTAGTTCTATCGGTGAGTATATATGATATTCGCTTATTAAGCGAAGCTAAACAGAAATATCAATAAGACTTTTTTTCAGAATAAATAGAAATGTATGAAATCTATGAAATTTACTTCGCTGAAATATAAAATATACATTCAAAATAGACGATAGTAAATAGTTAATTTTGTTCTTAAAATTCAAATTAATTTCTACAAACAAATATTGTCTTTTGTTTTCGTTTTTATTTTATCTCAGCATATAACCTTGTGATATTTGTAGTATCTATTTGAGAAATTTTAAAGAAATTTTAAAAATATAATATTAAAAACATTTCAAAAAACAGAATATTCGAAAAATCGTATGATGGACTGCCAGATGTTTACAAAAACATGGAATGTATGGGATTACAAAATGTTAAATTTATACCCAGTAAACAAGAAACGTTCCAAAACATTTCAATAACGTTGCAGCAACGTTGTAACGTTACTGAAACATTTCTTGTTTAGTGGGTATACACTAATAGCTACTATTAATCATATATAAACATTTTCATTATAATTATAAATATATAAGATAAATATATATACTCTATATTATAACACAGTAAATGCTAAATAATAATATTAAAATATTAAATTATTTTTAATATTTTTTAGAGATTAAAATAATCACACTACATTTTGTGACAATTTTACAAGTAATTAATTAAAGCGTGAATTTTAATCCTATACTCTCATATATATATAAATTCAAGTTTATAGGATTCTTTAAAAATAATAATTTTTAAAGAAAATTTGACGAGTCAGTTCACATGACTAAGATTGCTTTAATGATATAAAAATATATCAACGATATTCAATTACATTCTAATCTTCAAAGCGTATCGCAGTCAATAAATAAGAAGTAGTGAAAAGAGCTTTTTATATTATTGCATGTACCATGTAATATTTTTCCGTTCTATGTAATATTTTTTTACGACGTGAAACGGTACATGTTCTCTTCAAAAAACTTCCAGAGACACGATTTCAAATCAGTTTTTTTTATATTAAAGCCAACGTTGAAGCATTCAATCTGTCACGCAAGATTCACGTTAAAGTCGGCAGCAAATTTAACCCGCCTTTAAATCTCTTACGAAATCCCGGACTCGTTTGATCACCACATCGCCTTTGCGGCCACGTAGATTCAGAATAAATTACTGTAAGGGACTGGAAAATACGTTCTTTTTACACCTGCCGTATTCTAGATACGCGAAGATAACCACATCGCGTGTACCGGGACCTTAATGAGAATGCGGCACTACGAAGGCGTCTCAACGCAACATCACTCGGTTGCATTAACTCGCAACGTCGAAAGCACATTAAATAATAGAAAATGTTATTTTCCAACTGGGTTTTACGCTCGCGACGTGTTTTTACAGCAAATTAATTATATATAAAATAGGAAGAATACAAACTTCGCGTATTAATTACGTTTTGCGAAATAACTATTAGTCAATTTCGCAAAACGCAAAATAATTTTGACAATTTATAATTCTCGTTCTTATGCATGTATATATACATATACCTATATAAATAATATATACATATAGGTAACTTCAAAATTTTTTTTAATATATATAATATGTTCAGTAAATTGCAATTTTTTAATTAAATGTCTAGCTAACGTTAAAAGAATTTTTATATAATTGGACTTTTCAATATTAATTAAAATGGTATCCCATTAAAAATTTGCACTTTATTAAAACGTGATTATAAATAATGAATTCTATTCACTAGATTTTATTAAATACATTATTATTAAACTAACAAAGTGATTTTTCTTAAATAAAATGAATATGTTAAATTATTATATTAAATCTGAGAAATTCTAGAAAACAACATGTTACAAATTTCAATTATAAAACTTATATGAGTGATTTCGCAAATACAAAATCAAATATATTTCTTCTTACAGGAACGGGATTGACACAGCTGGATCTCTCCCAAAATTCGTTGAGTAGCGTTCCATCCCACGCGTTAAAAGACCTTCACCATCTCTTGATTTTGAATTTAAATCGTAACAAAATCACAGCTATCCACGGTAAAGCCTTTGAAGGTCTCGATACACTCGAAATTCTCACCCTTTATGAAAACAAGATCTCTATTATAGAAGCAGATGCATTCAAAGGGCTTGATAAGTAAGTCGCTTCTATTTACTGATATTTTAAATTCCAAATAAATAAAAACTAAGAGAGAGAAAGAAAGAATAGAATCTTCTATTCAAAATTACAAAAAAAAAACTTGAAAATGTATTTGCTTGGCCAACAAATAAACATCTTTTAAATTTGCAGCCCTAAGAAGCTCTATATTGTATTTATACAAGTTTCAAACAAAAAATGAGTTCAAATATCCCAGTCTATTTTAATCATTTTAAATTTCACATTTTTTTAGCCGAAGACTCAAAAGACTTAACTTAGGCGGAAATGAGCTAACGAGAATCCCAACTCAAGCTTTATCTTCGTTAGAATTGTTGAAAAAATTAGAAATGCAAGAGAACCGAATATCCACCATAAAAGAGGGAGACTTCGAAGGTAAAATCAATAATCCATTTTACTTTACAAGACGTCTTTTTTTAATATTCCAGGTTTAGCTGATCCCATTTTGCAGAGCAATTGTAATTTTAATTAAACCAACTTCTTTTTTAATCTACTATATATATATATACATATATATATATCTCCAATCTACATATAAATAATGCGTTTTTATAAAATAAACGTGTAACGAGCATTTCAATTAAATGAAATGCTCATCGATAAAATGTTTTAACCTTTCAGGATTGAAAGCGCTCGATTCATTAGGATTGGCGCACAATCACCTTCGTGAGGTCCCGGCACGTGTATTCTCTCATTTGACGCAATTAAACTCTTTGGAACTTGACGGAAATCAGATTGCTCATGTGGATGCCAATGCGTTCATAGGTCTTGAGGGTAAGTATAGTTAAAATTATAGGGCGCCTAATATTAATATTATTCTGCATTCTACTGTTATGGAAAATTTTGTTAATCCTAGCTGCACACTCTGGGGTCCCCGGGACCCCAGCGCAATTTTCTAAATCAAGATTTTTCGCGTTTCTAAATTTTTCTTTTTCTTTGAACCTATATATCTCAAAGTTTCTTAATTCTATCGACTTTTACACATTATGGGTTTGTTCCTTAATCAATTATCCATCGATTGAAAAAAAAATTAATTGAAATATATCCATTTTTACGGAAGTTACGATAACAAATATGGATAGGGTCCCAGAGACCCCAATGTATCAAGCATGCAAAAAACAAGTGTGTATAGCTAGGGTTAATAATATGCAAAGGAATAACTAATGTTTGCATGTCGTGTTATGTTTTACATATTAATTAAAGAGTAATTTAAATTTATACATATATATATTTGTTCATACTTCTATACTTGTAGTTCAAACTAGTATCGGTAAATCATCTTAATATCGATATAGCTGATGTAATCAGTGTATATTATAAATTTGTATATGATTTCGTGTTCAGTTTGCCGTAAAATTTCTGTAGTCTGCAGATCACGTCCTACTTTATTTATCATAGCGAACGACACAACTGCTTAGCATTTAAATTTACCGCATGCTACGGCTGCTTGTCAGCGATGCAATCGGTACCCTTTGGGAACGCGGATATAAACGAGCGAACGACACTTTACAAACTGCCTTTCATCTCGTAGCATACTATGAACGCGAGCTCGACTATCAAGATTATATTTCGGCAAAACGTTGTGCAAACATACAACAATTCAATCGACAATTCAGCCACGCACTACATTTAACTTCGCAATCAAAAGACAAATAATTTAATCAGACATGAAAAAACCGTTGTAAGTAAATATTAATAAAAACAAATATTAATTAAATACAGTGGATCAAAAAATATTTCCGTAAATATTTTGTTTGGAATAATTTCATAAAACTAAAAGATATTACGAACAAAAAGATATTATTTGCAAAACACATTAATTACGATGCATATATTCTTTCTATTATAAGAATATATTTTGTTTTTAATTTACACTAATATGTTGAAGAAATCATATATTTTAACAATACATATTCTTTCAGAAAGTTTGTGTATAAAATTATTCTTAAACATCTTAATATCCTTTTTTAAATAATAAGAAGATAATACTAGGCTCAGAAGATTCAATCAATTAATATGGATAATGCCTTTTTTATTTACCAATATTCAATTAACATTTGTTACTAAAAACCCATTCATTTAAAACTTTTTAATCACGTATTATTCTATCAATGTTGAAGAATCCAATTAAAGCTTTCGAACGAAGTATTTGATTCATGCTTCCGTAAATTCTTGCCGATCGATCGAGTGTTTATTCACTGCGAGTAGCTTGATTTAATTATAACTAGCTGCAATTCATCGAAAGAAGTTCATTTGAGCGTATCGTAACTCTTGAGAGCTATTATTGATGCTCTTCACGTAACGAGGCTATCTACTGCAAGCTAGATTACTGTTTTTCTAACATACCTATTTCATACAACGTTTGTATAGGTTTTAATTGCGTTATTCGTACAAAAAAATTCATATATTTCTTTACAAAAAAGTTAGAGATCATAAAAATTTAATGAATTTTTTAATTATTGGCCTCAATTTT